AGAAAATTTATTCTGAGACCAGGACTTTAGACATAGTTTCCCAGTTTCTATTTTCTGAATATTAGAACATTCACTGTTGGAGAAAAACCTAAGAAATTAAAAACCACACTAACTTAGCAGTCACGTTAGCCAACAACAGAAAGCCCTAGTTGGGCCACATCAGCCAGTGTGGAGCAAGGCAGATAAAGTGCCTTACCAAGTCCTTTCCAGATTACACAGAAAATTAAAAGATGCTGCTGGTTGAAGCCACTATGTTTCCAAACAACAGTGAATGGAATAGTAGCACATCCAAGTGTGTTAAAGGCCAAAGGAAGGAAACTAATATTCACATTTTTAGAAAATTAGACACTAAGTATACTTGTATTATAGCCACTAGAGTCAACATACCAACTCTGAATCACTGTTGTTTTGACTTCATTTTTATCTCTCTGCCTCAATTTCTATGGTAATAACCACCTACCTATAGTGTCAAGATATTTAAATAATACTTGTAAAATATCTAGAACAGGTCCTACTACATGTAAACTGTGTGTGTTCCTGTTCAAAACTCCTTTAAATAATCATCTTTACAACTGTTAAAACATTTATAGAGCTCCCTTGTCCTGGGACCCAAACCAATGTGTCCTGCAGCCACTTTGTGTCTTCTATCATATGTACAATACCTACTAACTGCTCAATAAATATCTAATGTGTTTAGTTTTATCCAACTTACAAAAATTTAAGGGCTTTTTCTATTTTCTGGAAAAAGGATGTATCCTTTAAGTGTCAATTTCATGAAAACTCCAGACTAGAAAGCACTCACATCCAATCTAAGTGCAATATTCTCTTCAATATTTTTTCCATATGGCCAATAAAGTTAACTTCCAAATTATTAGCAAGTATAAAGACAAATTTAGAAAGAAAATACATATTTCTATCAGACATAGCATTTCTTTATAAAATTTTAACAAAGAAGAAAATGTGCTTTAAAAAGTTAAAAACAATGTCAGTATCCAAGGCTAAAACCAATGGCCAGAAGCTGGTGCAGCAATACACCTCTGTAATCCCACAAGTTGGAAGGCTCAGGCAAGAGGATTGCTTAAAGTTCCAAGCCAATATGGGCTAAGCAAGACCCTCTCTCAAAACCAAAACAAGTGGAATACCTCAGGGTTAACGTACAAAAATTCTTACAAGTTATCTGTCCAGTCTTAAAAACAATGCATGTTATAAGTCCAAGTTTCTGGATCTTCTGGGAGCAAAATGATGTCAACCAAATCTATACTAACTGTGTGAAAACTGTGACTTGCAAAAGTAAACTGGTCCAGTATATAAATCTCTTCTCTTATTTTAAAATCAAAAGTGACAAAAAGAGTTTGTGGTCAACCTTAAAACAATTACTTTGTAAATTTCAGTAAAACTTTTGTATGGCAGCAACTAATTACAACTAAAAGACTGGGGGGAAAAACTACAATCTACATTAGTACCAATTACTAAATACTGATCAAAACAGAGCTTTTTTGAAGGTGCTGAGTAACAAGTGATGGTATACCTGGAATGCACTCCTTTAGATGAAGAGGAAACAATGCCACCTATTGTGAGCCGGGGATGGGGAAAAACCTCACTGAGCTTGGCACTTGTATTATAATTAGCTATCTGTACAGCCATGGTAATATTTTACAAATGCTAATCCACAGGAGGCTAGCTGCTTGCTAACATGGGGAACAACAGCCATACTAGACTAATAGTAGAAACCAGATAGAATCTGTGCTGGCCTTCAGACACCCAGTGCTCCTTTGAGAGTCAATGACACTGCAGTTACATGTGACCCTGCTAATCATACTTCTGCTCAGTGAAGAAACAGCAACACAACCAGGCACAAGACACAGTCCAATACATGACCCGCCTAAGTATCTAACAACAGTGGATGATCCGTAAACCACAGTTTCAATCCCCAGGTATCTCTCTCCAGACTGAGGTAGGCTTTACAACTTCCTGCTCTCTGGTCCTACAGATGTCAATATTGGAGTTTAGTAGACAATGTTCTCAGATGAAAGGAAAGAGTAACACTGAGATGGAGAAGGGAGGGAGGAAGGAAAAAGGAGACCATGGCTAGTGCTGTCTCACCCCCATAAGAAGTAAAATTACTTACGCATTAGGCTGTAAATGTGCTTTTCTGCAACGTGTTCCGTAAACAGCTTTATAAGATCATCTTTTAAGTCTCTGTTAAGCTTAGTTTCTATGTAAAACTTATTCTGAAAAAAAAAAAAAGTTTATATATATCAACAATGGAAAGTAATCATTTCCATGAGTGGGAGAACTAAGTGTTGTTTTAGGAAATAATGTATAAATGTATCGATTTAAAAAATAATAAAATAAAAATACCCAGCAAACAGCAAAACCCAGCCATTCCTAGTCACAGGTCTTTTTGGCATGAGGTTAAAAGGCTGGAAGATCCAAACAATCACAGCAATATGGAGCCACACTGTGTGCCATGTCCTTTAAGCATTCATGAGAAGCATCAAAAGGCAATGCTGAAATTCGGGAAGGCACTCCTCAACATCCAGGCTGAAGGCAAGCAGTGGAAGCTACCAGGAAGAGTCCCTGTAAACATGCCCTTCAGCAATGGTCAGTGCACCAAATTCCAGATACTATCTCTGTTTAGAGGCAGATACCCTAATCAGGCTGAGAGCAAGCAGTCCTTGAAGGGAAAGTTGTTTCATTTATATCCAAAATAAGATGAGTTGTATGGTGTACAGCAAGGGACAAAACAGAAACCCTGATTAGAACACCCTGGGAACTGCCTACTCTCAAGGACTCAAGGTCTGCTTCCTTATTTACCTGAGTCACTTTGAATCAAGTTCTCTCTTTCTTGCAACCAAAATCAGCCTAACTAGGAAAAAAACAAACACAAATCTAAAAACATTACATTTGTTCATGTTTAAATGCTAGCTCAATGCCAAAGAATAGAAAACAAACCGCTCACTCACTCTCTTGGTTCTGAACAGTGTTTTCCCTTCTGTAAAAAAAGGCTATATAAGTCAGGCAGTGGTGGTGCAGGCCTTTAATCCCAGGCAGACGGAGGTGGATCTCCATGAGCTGGAGGCCAGCCTGGTCTACAAAGCAAGTTCCAGGGATAGCCAGAGTGGTTACACAGAGAAACCTTGCCTCAAAAAAAAAAAAAAAAAAAAAAAAATCAAACAAAAACCATAAAAACAAGATGTACATGGTTAGTTAAAAACTACAACCATGCCAATAGGTGTGCAATCAAAGCTGATCCTGTATTCTAGCTCTACATGAGTTTGAGGAAATTCTAGAGATAACATTTTGAGTCTTCCAAGGCAATTTTACCAATTCACTCTAATTTTACCAATTTATATCTAAATTATAGACCAGTTTTCTCTACAGCTTCATCAGAAATGAGTATTTCCAAGAACTTTTTAAAAAGTAATTTTAACTTGTATTTAACAATGATGTTGGATATAATTTTCCTTTTTTATGCTATGTATTTTCTGTGAACTATCCAATTCAATATCTTTTTGTCAAAAAACAGTATTGCTGACCCTTTCCTACGTAATCTATGAAAACTAGTTAGCGAAGACAAACCTGTGTCTTGTGTTTTGTAAATTTCCTACAAACTTCTTCACCTATTTTTGGTTTTGGTATTTTGCTGAACAAAGGTTTTTCATTCTAACATCAACTAATATTCTCCTTGCTGAAAGGAGTTAAAGGTCTTCTTTCAGCAAGAATGTGAAAATGGGACCTGTGGGAATATGGGGATGAGGGTGCAGCACCCCCCTTTATCTGGAGATAAGAAAGGGTTGGAGGAGAAAGTAAACTATATATACTATATATAGTATGAAATGTGAAAGAACAAATTTAATAAAGAAAATTATGAGGAAGGGAAGAAATGCCTTTCTTCATTCTCAAAATTGGGCATGATTTCGTCTCTCTCACCTTCACTTTTAGGCTTATTCCATTTAGATGTGCTGTAAAGAATAAGGTAGTGATTAGACACACCCATCTTTAATCTGACTCAGGAATGAAATGGAAATTAAAAAATACAGCAAAAGAAAACCAGAACACAATTAAGCCCACATGGTTTGGGAAAGGTAAACAGAGTTCTAACTTACCATATATATGAAAAGAGGCACGATGCTCTGCAATGCTCCCATATACTGTCCCAGAGCTATATTAAATCTTTCGATATAGAGGTCTGGAGGGCTGGCCTTTAAGAAAGAATATCAACATAAACACACTGAGAAACCAGGTGAAAGTCCTTCTTCAACCTCCTGTAATACAAACCAACTTAGAAAGAATCCAAATTCCCAGTAAGAGGGTGGGGTGGTGTGTGTGTGTGTCTTTAAAATACTTTAAAGTCAGTTAAGGTTTCTTTGTTCCAAATCAGTTTAGTCACCTTTAAAAACTGTATAACTTTAACATATTAAGATTTTAATAAATCACCATTGAATTAGGGAAGACGCTCCCTACAGGAATCAAACTACATTGGGCCCTGAATTGGGGTGGGGTGGGGGGAGGGGTAAGGAATTCAAGCATATAGAACAGGCTCAAGATACTACCAGAGGGGCTGAATAGATGCCCAGCAGTTAATTATGCTTGCTGCTCTTGCAAAAGGACCCAGGTTCAGTTCCCAGCACCCACATGGCGGCTTACAACCATCTGTACCTCTAGTTCTGGGGAACCCAACATCATCTTCTGGCTTCCACAAGCACTGTACATACAAGATACACAAACATACACTCAAGTAAAACACTTACACACATAAAATAAGCCAATCTTTTTTTAAAGACACTATTGGAGCGGCTACTTTTTATAATATTAGCTTGGTTTCTTTAGCTAACAACCTATCAACATGAGAAGTAAGGACTCAAATGACTCACATATACCTGCAGGTCTAGACTGAAGTACAGTATAATGCACACCTACTGTTACAAAATACTAAGTCACAAAAGTAACTAAGGAAACCTCTAGAAATTTACGGTATGTTGACTGAACATGTCTGATCTCCCAGTGTAGCTGTATCTAAAATAAGGAAACAAGATTCCATGAGGTCATAAGAGCATGGCCCTCATCCTACAAGACTATGTGCCCTTAAAGGGACGCCAAAGGGCTTACTCCCAAACCTTAGCTATCAAAATGTGGCACAGAGGAAAGGCTTTGGTGAAAATGCTTCTACCTACAAGTCAGCAAGAGTCCTCAACAGGAACCTCTAACCCAGAACTTGATCTTGAACTTCTCAGCTTCCAAACTACCATAAGAAATGTTTCCCAGTCTATGGTATCTTGCTGTGGTACTGTAAGTTAAGAGGTTATGTTTTACAAAAAAATTTATCCATGTACTATTTTATTTTATTCTTTATGTTAATTTTAATATTAAAGAAGCTTAAATGAAAGGGTAATTTAAAAGATTAAAATATTAGCAAATGATAAGATACACATGTTCAACCAAACATTAATTCCTGGGTCAGGGTGTTGAGGAATGGGAATGTATAAAATACAAAAACAAAACACATCCCACATAAGGCCTGTCCTTTGGAAATTTCACCTGACAACCAGACCTTAAAGACAATATCTTGCTTTCAAGTTCTGCCACACTAAGACTCCTAAGTAACAAGTCCAACAACATAAAATTAGGGGCTAGAGAAATGGCTCAGCAGTTAAGAGTGCTTGCTGCTCTCCCAAAGGACCTAAGTTTGATTCCCCAAACCCCTATACCAGGCAGCTCACAACCACTGGTAATTCCAGCACCAAGGATCCCAGACCTCTTCTGGCCTCTTCAGGCAGCCACTCACCCACACACACACAGAAATACACATTAAAAAATTAAGAATATTTTTAAAGTGAAATTACAGAAGTCATGTATTAGCTATTTAAGAAATGTTCAATGTTCTAATACTCTCAAATGTTTTTAATTTTTAAAATTTGTAATTTGTAAAATACCTCATAAATGTTTTCACTTCTACCTAGAAGCTCAGAATATATTTGGGGAGCCATCTCTACTTCATCTTTCATTACAGAGTATTTACAGGTTAGTGTTCTCTTTCCATTTCTTTTCTTAAGTCCTCCTAACTGCCTGTGGAATAAAGGTTTTCTTCATCATACATAGGAGGTAAACAGCTCAGAAACACTTAACTATTTGACTGTGATCCCAAGCTAAGTTTAATATGCACTAAGACTCAATCAGATCCTGGTGACTCTGAGATATTTTGTACTGAAACTCCCTTCTTAGTACTCTCAAATCCCCACTTTTTATTCTTAATTCTGACTTCTTAATTTAGGGCACACTGTCTACTTTTCTGCTTCTGCATCCTATATCCTCTGTATAAACTAGCCAATACCAAGTAGTATCAGTGTTCTTTTGTCTGCCCAAACATCTCTTTTCCTACCCTTCACCAGACTTGCTTTATTCCTTGAAGATATGTAACTTTCTCAGAATATCTGAGTTCCATGGCCCTTCAGCAGGCAACTCACTGCTCCCACTCACCCCTGCCACTAACTGCAAGCCCCTGAGGCAAGACCTGTGCCCTACCTGTTCCTCTCCAATCTGACCAGAATGCCTGGAATACAGGAGAGGAGACATATGTTTTTCAAAGACAGAGTCTTTTGAAATCTAAAATTTATGTATGAATCTAACCTAGCACTGTTTGAATCTAAATTTCTATTTCAGTATTAATAAGGCTTTATGATACTGAGTAACTAATTCATCCCTTTGAATTTGTTTCCATACTGAGGAGCAATACCCACCCTACACTATTTCTAAGAATGTGTCAAGAATCAGACAAAACAAACTCACATCTATATGAGTAGGAGTAAACAGCAACCATGTGCCTAACACTTAGAAAATTCCAGTGATATTTTAAAAAGCAATCTTTGTCAACCAGAGAACTTGGGGGAAATGGTTCCACATTACAGGTGAACCTAACCACTGGAAATGAACAGACTGGCATGCATCATCTTCCTCAAAGCAGCTTCAAAGAACTCAGGAAATGATACTCAGCATTCAAAGAAGTAAATTTTACACATATAGAAGAAAAAAATCTGAAAAGCTGTTATATTAAAATATTTTTCCTTTTTATAAAAGGACACTTCGTCTAAGAGTTAAAAACATGAACACTGATCAAAAGGCACATTTAACAGCAGCGAGAATAAATAAAATTGAGCTCCTTATTTCTTTACAAAGTCCCCAAACCTCAAAGGTTAGGAGTATTAAAAAGTACTTTTTGTGCTGAATCAAATGTCAGAACACTTAGCTTTTTTTACTTCTACATTTCATGCAGCACTCACTCAAAACCTTTGAAATGACAAGACTATAATGTATGACAGTCTGAGAAAACAAACTCCATCTTTTCCAGGAACCTAGAAATGAATGTCATTTTGAAAATACTAATCAAACTGTTCCTCTTTAAAAACCTACATTCTGTATTACTCTGGTCCCCATTGGGGAAAATGCTACCTAGTTTGAGTTTTACTATTCCAAAATGATAGTATCTGGCTTGGACATTAATTGGGGGAAAAAAAATCCCTCACATCAAACAAGAAAAAGCAAGCTGTGGGAAAAATAATGCCTGTCATAAACTTCTTCCAATATTTAGGGAAAGTGGTGCAAGTGCTTGGGCTGAACCAAGAGCCTCACCCAGTGCCAGACAAAGGTGCTCTACCACAGCCACACCCTCAACCAGTTCAAATGGGTTCAGAGTTTTATTTTCACTTCTTCCTCCATGAAACACCTGCCACTTAATTCTTTTCTATCCTTTCAACATATATTGCTTGTAGAAACAGGAGTCTAATAGCTCTTTACACAAATGTTAAGTTATACTAATACCAACATGTACTTTTTATAACTATCTTGGGAGTAGGTTTTATTCTATTGAGTCTAAAACATTTTGGTCTCTAGAACCATTTTCACTATTAAAAATAACTGAACATGGAGCTGGAGACATGGTTTGGCAGTTCGGAACACTTACTGTTCTTGCAGGGAACCCAGCTTCAGTTTCCAGTACATACAGGGTATTTTACAAGAGACCTGATTCTGTCTTCTTGACCACACAGGTTCCTGCACACATGGTACACATAAACTCATGTGGGCGCATAAGTACACATGAAAATAATCAATGATAAATCTTTAATCCTAAAGGCTCCAAAAAGCCTTTATTTGTGGGTTTCATCAAATATTTTTTTCTATCTGGAATTAAGAGGGTATAGTGAAGAGCACCTGTACTCCCAAGGAGGCTGAATCCTTTGAGCCCAGGAGTTTGAGAACAGCCTGGGTAACACAATAAGAATGTATGGTCCAAAAACAAATAAAACTGGACTTTACCAACAGGGTACTCTCAAGGAACACTCCAACTCTTAACCATGAAGAACCCAGACAGCAAGGTGGATTTAGTAAACATGATACTACCATTCACCAAAGCATATACAATTCCTAAAACCAAATTAGACATTTTAAGATGAGTGACTTGGTCAGCAATGGTGTTTAGATAGGCCAACTAGTTCCCAACACTTACTACTCTAACTCTACTGCCAAGCTCAAGGCTGGGACAAATGGACATTTGCCATTTACTGATTGAGAAAGGATGACAAGGCAAAGCCGAGAAATAAAATGTTCAGCGCTTACTAGTACCCTTTGGGTACTGCCAAAGTGGGAAAAGAAAATCACTGAAACGTTGAAACACAGCAGGAAGCATCCATTTTGTGCAAACACGGAGGGTGTACAAGAACAGACCACACCATGGCACAATGAGCTTCAGATATTGCAGACTAGGGTGGGGTGAATGGCTCCACAGATGAGGGTCCAGAGAACAAGCCCCTCAGTTTTCAAGACACATATAAAGCCAAGGGATGTGAATTCTATGGTGTGTCAAGAGGAAGAAGAGATGAAGTAGGATGTTTGTACAGCAAATGAGGGGAAAGGAGCCATTTTGAAGGAAGCTAGGAGTTCACCAAGAAGAATGAGACTTAGAGAGTTTTAGGAGAAGAAACTGCTTTCCTAGAAAGCAAGCTACCTCGTAGCTCAGCAATTAGGTGGCAATTTAAAAAGGACAAGGACCAAAAGAACTCCAGCTTTGTGTAACACAAAAGTCCAAGAGCATAGGTAGGTCATCACAGGCATCACCATTCAATTCAAAATAAAGGCGGCTATGCTTTATTGTTTCCTCATCACTAAGGTCTTCAAATATATATATATTATATAATATAAATATATATATATAAATATAAATATATATATATATATATATGCTTTGCAATACTTAAAATCAACATAGATGGAGACTTTTAAAAAGACTTATTACGTTTTAGCACAAATCTTAAAAGGTCTTATTAATAAAAACAAACCTGGAGCCAGATATTGGGATGAACGCTTGAAGATCAGAGAAGCAGAATAAGCCATAGCTAACCTCACCTCGCCAACTCCTCAGCTGATCCTGTTTCCTCAAACTGAAAGTCTCTGAGTCCTCATCCAAATGGATCTCAGCTGAACTGCTGCTAAAAGCTAAAAGCTTAACCAACTCTAGTTTCTGGTCCTCACGCCTTATATACCTTTCTGCTTTCTGCCATCACTCCCTGGGATTAAAGGCGTGGATCTCTATGCCTGGCTGTTTCCAGTGTGGCTTTAAACTCACAGAGATCCAGATGGATCTCTGCCTCCAGAATGCTAGGATTAAAGGCGTGTGCTACCACTGCCTAACATCTATGTTTAATATAGTGGCTGTTCTGTTCTCTGACCCCAGATAAGTTTATTGGGGTGCACAATATATCAACCACAATTATGTATACAGTATTCTGCCTGCATGTGTCCTTGCAGGCCAGAAGAGGGCACCAGATCTTATTGCGGATGGTTGTGAGCCACCATGTGGTTGCTGGGAATTGAACTCAGGACCTCCAGAAGAGCAGTCAGTGCTCTTAACCACTGAGCCCGAGATTTTCATTTTTGATAAAATTATCCAATTGGCAACATCCCAAGGCTGTTGTTGGAAGTTTTTACTCTTTTTTTGGGGGGAGGGGGGCTGCCACCCAGCTCCCAAATAAATCACACATGGTGGCTTATTCTTAATTATGAATGCCCTGCCTTAGCTTGGTTTAGTTTCTAGCCAGCTTTCCTTAACTTAAATTATCCCAACTATCGTTTACCTCTGGGCTTTTCCTTTTCTCTAACTTCTGTAAATCTTACTCTTACTCCATGGCTTGTTGTGTAGCTGGGTGGCTGGCCCCTGATGTCTTCCTCCTCCTCCCAGCTTTCTCCTCCTATATCTTCTCTCTGCCTGCCAGCCCAGTCTATCCTTTCTCCTGCCTTGCTATTGGCCACTTCTTTATTAAACCAACAGGTGTTTCACACAGGCACAGTAACACAGCTTCACAGAGTTAAACAAATGCAACATACACAAAAGTAACAGACCTTAAAATATTCCACTACATGAGCCTTTGTTACATTGTGTACCATGATAACCCTTTATATGCTTCAATGTAGCTTAGGAAATTGATACATTGCTATGATAAAACAAGTCAAATTTAAAAGTTAAAATAAATCTTTGAATGGCGGTCTATTACATTATGTTCACAAGATATATTACACAATGCTTTTCAGGGAGAGGATAAAGTTGAATAATTTTTAATAAAATTTTTCTTAGAAATATAACTATGAACATCTGAACATTAAATGTATAAAAAAGTTGATTAGTCCTAGAACATTTTAATTCTTTCTAACTTTTTTTTAATAGTCTGAGGCATATAATTCTCATTCCTTTATACTTGAATGTCTATATTCTAAAAAAATTAAATAATTTACATATTTAAAAATACAAATTAATTCATTCTAATATGATAATAGTCATTACATATAAATATACTTTTTATGAAAAATAATCTTCCAAAACAAATCCAAATGTACTTAAGTAACTTTGGCAATTATTTTGACACTTTAACAAGTCTCTTACAACTTAATTCTTGCCATCTGCTTCAATAATCAATTATTATGTTTTTTGAAGTAAAGGAAGAAAATTTAACCTCAGAAATTTGTAAATGGGGGAGGGAGAAACCCTCTGGTTTTTTGTCGTTTAGTTTTTTGAGACAGAGTTTCTGTGCAGCGCTGGCTGTCTTGGAACTTGCTCTGTAGACGAAGCTGGCCTCAAACTCAGAGATCCACCTGCCCCTGCCTCCCAAATGCTGGAGTTAAATGCGTGTGCTGCTGTCACTGCCACCTGCCCTTAGTAGCCTTTTCAAGACACAACAAATACTCTTTCTCAGAAGCTTAACAAATGATTGTTTCTTAAAAATTTGTTGCAGTGTGAATTAAGACTCCTGAAACTACCAGTGGGTGCACTAAATATTACATGGAGCTCTGGTTTATCTTCTACTTGGGAGTCTTTAATTTACATATTTTTTACCACAGCACATTGGCCACTGGAAAACAATCAGTTACATAGATCTTCTAACTGCTGACACATTTTAAGTACCTAAATCTGAATAATTAGTCTGTTCTTCATCCCATTCATTCTTCAAGTAAACATGGTGTTCTATAGGAAAGGGTAGTTTTCTCAACACTCAGACCATACTTGGGTGTATAACTAAGCATTCAAATATATGAGACTGTAGGAGCCATTCTTATTTAAACCACCATAGCTACTGTAAAAATAAAAACACAAAGGAGATGTGGAAAGCAGCATTCTTTGCAGTCCCTTTCTTGAGGACATAAATGTTGTTCATAAATGTCTTCCAATTTTTAGACTATTAGTATGGGGTCTGAATAAGTAGATAGATAGTTCATTCAGACTTCTTATAAGAACAGAAGTTCTTAAGGCATGTACCTTTGAATACAGATTTTTTTTTAATTACCTCAAAGTCAAACTTCAATAAAATGAAAAATTCTTACAGTTCTCAGATACTCTTTTTGAAGACTGGATCTTATTACATAGGCCAGGCTGGCCATAAACTTGCTGGACTGAGAAACATGCAGTGATCCTCCTAAGCCTCCCCAGTGGTAGGATTACAAGCATATGTCAATCATACCCTACCATGTAAGATATTCCTAAGTAAGACTGGATGAGTTGTTTTGTTTTCTAATTCACACATATACAAGTGAAAAAAGCTCTAGCAATTTTACCCACCACTGCTTACCTCATCACTGCAAATATTAACAATTACAAGAGGAAATAATACAAAGTAGAAAACCAGCTTTGATTTTGTAGAACCCTTCAACAAGTTTCAGAGCCCCCAGAAGTACTCAACAGGTACGTACATTGAAGAACTTCTATTCTTGTAAATGAAATGTCTGAAAGTACTATTTATCTATTTATTCAGAATATCATATTTACTCATACCTATAGTCTAAAAGATGGAAGACAGGTTTATGAACAAGGTTTATGTCCTCAAAAAGACAACTGCAAAGAATGCTGCTTTCCACATCTCTTTTATGTTTTTATCTTCATAGTAGCTATTGTGGTTTAAATAAGAATGGTCCCTAAAGGCTCATATATTTGAATGCTTAGTTACCAAGGAGTAGCACTATTTGAGAAGGATTAGAAGGATTAGGAGGTGTGGTCTTGTTGGAGAAAGTGTGTCCTCAGGGGTAGGCTTTGAGGTTTTACAAAAAAACCCACACCAAGCCCAACACTTCTCTCTGCTTGCAAATCATGATGTAGCTCTCAGCTATTTCTCCAGATCACATCTGCCTGCAACCATGTTTCCTGCCATGATGATAATGAACTAAGCCTCTGAAACTGTAAGCCAGTTCCCAATCAAATGCTTCCTTTTCTAAGAGTTGCTTTGGTCATGGTGTCTCATCACAATAGAACAGTGACTAAGACAGCAGCACCCTGGACTTGTTTTTTCTTTTGTTTAACATATTTGAGCGTTTTATCTGAAGACAGCAGTGGAGGCCAGAAGAGAATCCCTCAGAATTTGAGTTACAGATGTTTGTGAGCAGTCATGTGGGTATTGGAACCTGAAACTAGGCCTTCAGAAAGAGCAATGAGCGCTCTTAACCATGGTGCTCTCTCTCTCTAGCCCAATATTCATGTTTTTGAGTATCAGATATCCAAGATTTCCTCCTCGTAAACCTGCCATGTCTAATCAGGTATCTTAGTTAAAGCTATCACTGCCGTGATGAAACACCATGATTAAAAACAACTTGGGGAAGAAAGGCTTTATTTCACTTAAACTTCCAGGTTAACAGTCCATCACTGAGGGAAGTCAGGGCAGGAATTCAAACAGGGCAGGAACCTAGAGGCAGGAGCTGATGCAGAGGCCATGGATGGGTGCTGCTTATTTGCTTGCTTCCCATGGCTTGCTCAGCCTGCTTTCTTATAGAACCCAGGACTACCAGCCCAGGGATGGCACCACCCACTACAGGCTTGGCCCTCCGCCAATCACTAATTAAGAAAATGTCCTACAACCAGATCTTATGGAAGCATCTTCTCAATTGAAGTTCCCTATTTTCACATGACTCTAGCTTGTGTCAAGATGACAGAACTAGCAAGCACACTAGCTGAACTAAATTCTTAAGACTGACAAACTCCACGAAGGAAACAATGAACATACAGACTTCTTCCTCTTTAATAGTGGTAGCTATGGATTCAAGTTAGAGAACAAATGAAGGTACATTGAAGCATTACTGGCCATTGTGACCAACAGCATAGAATTCCTCATAGTTTCCATCCTGCAACTCACACCTGCTCTCCCCTGGAGTCTGAGAGTGGGATAGATACCTGAGAGCCTCTGTCTCCTAATACTTAGCAAACATTACTTTAGTCCTAAGTTTTTGGTTTTTTGTTATTGTTGTTTTGGGGGGTGGGTTTTTGAGACAGGGTTTCTCTGTGTAGTTTTGGTGCCTGTCCTAGATCTCACTCTGCAGACCAGGTTGGCCTTGAACTTACAGAGATCCGCCTGCTTCTGCCTCCTGAGTGCTGGGATTAAAGGCATGCGCCACCACCGCCCGGCTCCCAAGTACTATTTATTTTATGTATATGGGTATTTTGCCTGCATGTATGTCTGTGTACTATGCATGACCCCTAGAACTGGAATTACAGAAAGTTGTGGACTACCATATGGGTGCTACAATTCAAACCTAGGTCCTATGGAAGAACAGCAAGCATTATGAACTGCTGAACCATGGCTCCAGTCCCTAAGTGCTTATTTTTTAAAAGAAAATTTTTATCTTTTGAAACAATTACATGGCTACCTCAAAACAAACATTAAACAAAAATACAATCTGTGACCTGTGGGAACTAAAGAGATGGCTTGGAAATAAGCAGCATATGCTCTTCTTGCAGAAGACCCAAACTTTGGTTCCCAGCACCCATACTGTCGAGCTCAGAGCTGTATGACTCAGCTCCAGGAAATCTGACCTTCTGGCCTCTGAGGGTACCAGCACACATATGCACATAATTCCACAAACATGTAACATATACACATAACTTAAAAAATAATAAATCTTAAATTAAGTAAAAGAAATTCAATTTGTAAATGTACTCTACACATTCTGATAATAAGCAAATGCAGGTATCAGCTGTCTAAGTTCCAAGTTCAGGATCTGCCTCAACTGAAAAAAGCAGATGCCTCAAGAATCTCAGCTGTATAGCAACTTACAGAAAGTCACTTCTGAATTTGTCTGGGAAAGATCACACTAGGCCTATGATATTATAGGTTAAGGCTAAGTCTCTACTATCAAAGGCTGATGGTAAACATTAAAACTACTGTCTGAATGAGCACTTGTGGATATGGCTGAGAGTCAGTATCTCACTGGCAAATTCTCTTATAAAAATAACTTGTGATTGCAACTGCTTAAGTTCTAGTTTAGATTTAAAAACAGGGGCTACGGCGATGGCTCAGTGGTTAAGAGCACTGGTTGCTCTTCCAGAGGTCCTGAGTTCAATTCCCAGCAACCACATGGTGGCTCAGAACCATCTACAATGGGATCTGATGCCCTCTTCTCTCATGAAGATGTACAGAAGACAGAGCACTTACATAAATAAATCTTAAAAAAAAAAAAAAAAAAAAAAAAGACTTCCAGATAACTTACTCAGAAAAGCCTTCAGTATTCACAAGTGAATGATTCAATAATTGGTAATGATATATATTTTGTTTGAGATCTAGGAGGAAAGGGTACCAGGCAATTTTGTTTTAAGGTAAGTAGAGGGGTGTGTGTTTGCCTATGACCACATGTGCATGGGTACCCATGGAGTCTAGAAGAATGCATCAGGACCTCTTGGAGCTGGAGTTACAGGCTGTTGTGAGCTGCCCAATGTAGGTGGCAGAACCATATTCCAGTCCTGCATGAGAGCTACAAGTACTCTTAATCACCAAACTATTTCTCCAGCCCAATAATTAATTATATTACCTAAAATCTTCAGTCTAGTAAGGAAAAAACAGTATACTGGAAGTAAAGAGGGTCTTTGTTTGTTTTTTTTTTTTTAAGACACACTTTGTACTTCAACAGAATTAAAAATTAAGTCTTTTTTTTTTTTTGCTAAGACAGCTGTAAGCAACCAGTTGGATTGTACTGCCACCCACTGGGCAAAAAGCAAATAGCAATGCAACACCTGCTGAGATCTCAACACCAAGACATGGCTGGCCCTTGACTTATATAAGTCAGTGTTTGTACAGCCTGAATAAAGTTATAACTAATTATGGCTTAGTTTCAACTAATTTCATTACTGATTGGTTTGTCAATTATAGTAACTAGAAACCAAGATATATTTATCTTAAAAGGTACCAAAATTACTAGTTTTATTATATTAAGGGTACCCAGTCAACTTCTTTTTAATTAAAACAGCTTGCCGGGTGGTGGTGGCACACGCCTTTAATCCCAGCACTCGGGAGGCAGAGCCAGGCGGATCTCTGTGAGTTCGAGGCCAGCCTGGGCTACCAAGTGAGCTCCAGGAAAGGCGCAAAGCTACGCAGAGAAACCCTGTCTTGGGGAAAAAAAAAAAAAAAAAAAACCAGCTGATAAGCACTTCTATAAAGTGCTGTTTAGAGGGGGCTGGAGAGATGGCTCAGCAGTTAAGAGCACTGACTGCTCTTCCAGAGGATCCCAGTTCAGTTCCCAGCACCCACATGGCAGCTCACAACTGTAACTCCTAAGATCTGACACCCTCATACAGACATACATACAGGCAAAACACCAATGCACACAAAATATAAAGAAATAAATTTAAAGTTCTGTCTGGAGATTTAAAAATGAAAACTTTTACTATCCCCTCCCCCGCTCTGTTTTTGGTTGCTCCTTGTCAGGACCTGAATGCAGCATTATCTGTGCTGTCGCCCCCACTTCGTTATTGTCTTTCCCTGGAAACAGTCTCTGCTTAAACAGCTCAGTGGGTAATACACAGTACAAGCTCCAAATGACTGAAAATGAGCAACTGTTAATGGTCAGTGACTATGAACTACATCAAAAGCCACAATGCTCAGGTGGTTAAAGTGGAGATATACTTGAAATTCAACCAAGTACATCAAATTTATCAACAAAATTGCTTGGGGGAAAAGTGCTTCACAGCTGTTTCAGTAGATTCTGCAACACACACACACACACACACACACACACACACACACACACACACATCAAATGTGGAATCACCATTTAAGACAGCTTTAAAAATAAAGAATGTTATAGTCATTAAATTAAATTACATTACCCAGATTGGAGTACAACAGAACAATTCATCTTAAATGCTGTTAATTTCAAATGTATTATTGAAAGCAAGGTGGGGGGAATTCCAGTTACCTACAATAAAGCTTAAGCAAACAGTCACCATCTTTACAATGGAATATCATTTGGGCATAAAAAGGAATGGGGTACTAATCAAGTATCACTAAGCCTTGAAAACATTGTACTACCAGAACCAGAAGGCTACATACTGTGTGATGTATTTGTCTGAAGTATCCAAAACAGGCAAAATCTAGAACAAGTTCAGTGGCTGCCAAGAGCAAAGGGGAGGAAAACAGTGACTGCTAAAGAGTAATAGATTCAAAAAGCCAGCTCATGCACCAGGAATAGATCCTGGTCCCACTGCCAGGGGTAACACAAACAGAACAGGCAACGAAACTGTTGCTCATATGCAGAGGTCCTAGTTTGGTCCCATGCAGGCTCCCTAGCTGTCAATCTAGTGTCCATGTGCTTCCACAAGTTCAGGTCGTCTGTCTCTTGCTCAGCCTTAATTGGGGGGGGGGGAGGCACTTGGTCCTGCCTCAACTGAACATGCCAAGCATTGTTGACTCCCCAGGGGAGGCCTTACCCACTAAGGAGTGGATTGGAGTGGGTTGAGGGAGGTGGGAACTGTGGTTGGTATATAAAATGAATAAAAATAAATAAATAAATAAATAAATAAATAAATAAATAAATAAATAAATAAATAAATAAATAAATAGACTAATAGATTCCTGTAGCAGGCTTTTTCTTTTGGGCCACCAACCAGTTCCCAAATCATGACACTGAGACTTATTAGTTTTGAGTGCTTGGCCTTAGCTTATTTTAATCTGTTTCTCTTTACGTTTTGCCTCAGGGCTTTTTACCTTACCCCCCCCACCCCCTTCCTGTATATCTTTCTGTATACTTTCCTGCTGTCTCCATGTCTGGCGAGAGGCCAGTCCCTCTCTTTCTTCCTTGTTCTCTTCTCCTTCTCTCTCCTTTTGCCTACATTTCTGCTCCTACTTATTCTCTCTGCCCACCGCCCAGCCTATCCCTCTTCTGCCTAGCTACTGGCCCGTTCAGCTTTTTATTAGACCAGGCAGGCAAGGTGAAACAGCAATACATCTTTACATAATTAAAACAAATGCAACATAAACAAATGTAACACATCTTTACATCATTAACAAAGGCAGCATAAACAAACGTAACACACCTTTACACAGTTAAAGTAATATTCTGCAGCATAAACAAATGTAACACATCTTTACATAGTTAAATATTCCACAACAGAGTCCTTTCAGTCGGAACTAACATGTCCTGAAATTAGTGGTAAGGAATGTGTTAACAAGTAGATATTAGAAACTGCTGTGCAATTCTCAGGGAGCGTTCAGCATTCAAGGAGCCTTGAACTCCTCATCAAAGGCTATGGCCTTGCTCTTGAGGGAAATGGAGTCAAAGGGCTTAAAAAGGTAGCATACGAAGTCTGAAAATTACAACAGACTAGGGGAAAGTATAAAGCCAAGATACAAGATATCTTTTCTTATTGTCTAGTCAAGCATCCAAGGAGGTTTAAATTAATGAGATGGGAAGTGAGAGATAAATTTGAGAAATTTCACAGCAGAGAAAATTAGCCAGGACTTGGAACTCAGTTTATCTTCCTACCCTGTCACTCTTCACATTTCAGAATATTAAAATGATCATTACAACTTTTCCTTAAAAAAAGCTAAAGAATAAAGCCATACTGTAATTTTTCTGTAACCCTAGTTTCTAGGTACTAGCAAGGCCTAGCATATATACATTAAATATTTGTCGAGTCAAACATTCTAAAACATTGACTTTCTATTTTCCCACCTCTAATGAGCACCTAACATTTTCTTTAAACAGAAATGATCTCTGGGTTCTGCAGCCGTATCATTTCTAAGCACCAAAGTAACTCTATGTACTCCTAGATAGTCTGGAACTATGAGACCAGGCCAGTTTTTCTCCCTTTTATTACCAACTGGTCCATAGTTTCATCAAGACTCCCAGGGCCAAGTGTATACCTTAGTTTACTCAGAGCTTGGCAAATTTAGAAGGCATTGAAGTACATAATCATGTATTATTTAAAGACCCCGTAGGGCCTGAGAATACACACTGCTTTTTCTAGGAGAAAAGTTAAGAAGAGTCCCAGTAAATTGTTCACACAAGTTTAGATCAAGTTTTGTCTGGTTTTTATGTGTATGAGTGTTTTGCCTGCACGTATGCATATGTACCACATGCAAGCCTAATGTTCAAAGCTGTCAGAAGAAAGCATCCAAATCCCTGGAACTGGAGTTACAGATGATCGTAAGCCATCATGTGGGTGTTGAAAATGGAACCCTGGTCCTCTGCAAGAGCAACAAGTGCCCTTAACCACTGAGCCATCTCTCTAGCCCCTAGATAAAGTTTTAATGCATGAGTTTGGATACCAAATTTATGAAAAGACATCCTTTTTCAGAGGTTTTTATTTTTTAGATTCTGGAATTACAGATGACCTGTCAGGTCACCACAGTCAGCACTTCCTCATATCCCATCCTTCCCACCCCAATCCATCTTATGACACTGATCCTCTAATACACAATTCCTGGCATTCAAGGGCTTCTACCATCTGAATTTAGTCTACCTTTCCCCTGCCAACCACACTGGAACACCCTTCCCTGTTTTCTTCACAGGACTACTCCTTAAGACCTGGGCAGGCCCACATCGCTCACAGAGCAGCCTCTGCCCATCAAGTCCTCTGGTCCCCTCTATGACAAACCTTCGTTGGTGCCACCATCTTCTTCACTGCCTTAACCAGGCTGGAATTGGTCGGCTTTTGATTTTAAGCAGCATGTTCCTTCTGCTCTGAACCATGGTTATCTGGGTGGCTATAAACAATGCAGTGGTCTAACAAGCTGGCATCGTGTTTTAATGCTTTCTTTAGGTCTCATCTGTTGTTTGAGATAAATGCTAAGGCTTTTGATTTTTCAAAAACTTCACTGTTTTCTAACCTAGCATTTTAAAATTTACTCTAAACCATATTTTCTTAAAACAAACACCCCCACCTTCTGTCTTGTTTGTGATAGAGCCTCTTTTTGCTGCCATTGTCATCATCTTTTTTTTTTTTTTTTTTTGGTTTTTTTCGAGACAGGGTTTCTCTGTGTAGCTTTGCGCCTTTCCTGGGACTCACTTGGTAGCCCAGGCTGGCCTCGAACTCACAGAGATCCGCCTGCCTCTGCCTCCCAAGTGCTGGGATTAAAGGCGTGCGCCACCACGCCCGGCTCGTCGTCATCATCATTTTTTTAACGATTTTATTTTTATTTTATGTGTATTGGTATTTTACATTAGGTGAGGGTGCCAGGTCCCCTGTAACTGGAGTTGCAGAAAATTATGAGCTGCCATGTGAGTGCTGGGAACTGAACCTGGATCCTCTAGACAAACAGTCAGTGCTCTTAACTACTGAGCCATCTCTCCAGCTCCCATCATCATCATTTCTGATGCATACCAAACTACCTGGCCCATGAGCCTCCAAAGATTTTCCTGTCTTCCACCATGTCCCTACAGAAGCACTGGTGTTATGTGTCTGGCTTATGAATGGGCTCTGGGGACTGAAAACTCTCCACTGAGCCATCTCCCCAGCCTTGTCTAACATTTCCAACATTTACATTCAATTTTTCTGTTTCCTTATCCGTATTTTTCAGCTGTGCCTCTTGGCAGCAACATTTGGTAGAGCTGTAGGATTCCATGCTTCTGGTTACTGCTTTTTCTTATGCAGCACTTAGCTTTTAGCATTTCATATAATGATAAACAGACTGAAGTTTAAGTTATTACTAGTCTATGCCTCATCTGTTCTTTGTGCCCTTTTCCTCCCTCTCTTGGCTTATTTTTGAATTACTATATTTTCTCCCTCTATTGTTATATTTAGTCCCCTTTAGAGGTTACCCCAAGTTTACAGTTTGTATCTTTGCCTTACTTTAGTCTAAAATAAATGAGTACTTTGCTAC